CATTAAAAGAGGGCCGAGTGAACAGGTTTTAAATGATCGACCAAGATAACTCAATGTATTTGTGAAGAAACACCGGAGTTGTATTATGCAATAAAATTGATCTAAAATCCCTCCTCTACGCGATTTATTTGAAATGCACTCATGAAGACCACGCTAAATGATGCAATTTTAGTTTGAGATAACCGCCGGACAATCAAAAATGTGCAAGTATTGTAATTGTCTTTATCTACTAGTGGTTAATCCATTAACTCAATAGGTGGTCAATCAAAACGTGCAATATATCGGTATATGTAAGTTGTGAAGCGCTTAAATTTTTTTAGAAAACGTTTACTAACTCGTTAAAGCTTATATTTTGTAGTGCTCAAAAAATGGTAACTATAATAAAAATATATCGAGCCATGTATATTGAGCGTTTTTCGCTTCACATTACATTGAAGTTAGAACGAAGTATTTCAGTTCAGGTTGCAATATCCAAATAACTTTCACTAAGATTTTAGTCATAAAAAGTTGGACATCATCAAGAAAACAGTATTTATTTTCACTCTTGATTTGAAATGATTTACAATCAACATGACCAAACAATTTGCAGTTTTACTTATGAATCATCCAATGTTGGAAATTTCTTTCTAAGATACGAGTCTATCGCTTTTCTACATTCCCTCCAAAGCTTTTCTTTGTCTGCTGCCTTACAGGGGTAAAATTCTTGTACGTGGCTTTTAATAGCTTCAACCTTTTGAGGGTCCAATTTCTGTTTTCCTCGCAACCCTTGGACATTTTTTCCGGCAAGCTGGTCATCAGTAAAGAGCTCTTTTACAAGGCGAACAGCAAAGTTCATGGGCGATGAAGCTTGTGCCTTCACCACAGAAAAGTTTAAACTCTTTGGTGAAGGCACAAGGGTATGAGATGTAGTGTAGTTTGCATCTTGAATGGGCGTGGTATCAGTTGATATAACCATTTGACGATTAGCTGTTGGTCTTGTTTTCGTCTTTGATAAATTCGGTGCGTTTTCAGTTAGGAGCTTGGTTAACATGTCGATTTTTTCTTCTATTCTTTGTAATGTGGTAGTTAACATACTATTTTGAACGCTTTCTTGTTCTACGGCCACGCTAACTTCTCGTACAGACATTGTGGATCTGCGGGATGTGGGTGTTGATAGTGGTTGTTGATAGTGTTGGTACGGTGAAGGAGGCAAGGATGGAGGTTGTTCATAGTGATGGTTCGGTGAAGTCGGCAATGATGGAGGTTGTTCATAGTGTTGGTAGTTCGGTGGAGATGGCAAGGAAGATGGTTGTTGATTAGTTTGGTAAGGTGCAAATGGCAAGCGGAGAAGGAACGAAAGTTGTTTATCAGGGTTGTGTTTGTCTGAAGTAGATATCGACGATGTTAGTTGCTGGCGGGTCGGTGTTGATGAGAGGTTGAGGGATCGTGGCAGGTTGCGGGTCGTTTCTGGTGAGGAGCTAGACGAACCGCTCTCGTTATTTGGTTGGTAGGAAACGGGCGAACTCCTTACGATGACGGTCGCCTGAAATTACACAAACACACACAAAAAAGATTTAAGTTTTATATACAAAAAAATTAGATGTCGCACGATTTTCCATCAGTATAGTGTCCGTGCGTGCAAGATATTTACCAATTTCTTGTCTTTTTTGGGGGGTGTTTTCCTTTTTTTTGCAGGGGGCTGACTGTTAGTAGTTTTTGCACTTGTTTTCTTTTTTTGCTTTGCCGGATTTTTCTTGGCTACTTGCTCCTGTAAAAAAAATGTTGACATGCAAGTCAATATAATCGTGTATAAAGGAATCTGAAATCACAGTGTTCGTACATAACATGAAAGATGATTTTTAAGTAAAGCCTTACCACTGGATCTTCTATTTTGTCGTCTTCCTCGTCTTCAAAAAGGTGGCCATTCTCAGGAGCCATTACAAAATTTTTCAACATATCTTGAAGGTTTGTGTAATCATCTACAGTATAAAGTTAAGAGTACCTTGTCAGGTTCAGTTTTGTTATAAAAAGAAATACTTCATTTGTAATAAAATCTCATTTGAGTCGGAATTAGCATGCATTTTACATTCAGATCCATAAATATATATAAAGTTTACTAACCTCCAGAGCCGATAATTTCGGCCGGCAAAAGGAGCTCCCCATACCACACATTGACTTTGCTCCCTTTCGTCTTCTTGTCTCCTTCGRTTACCGATTCAATTTTCTTTGTAGGGATAATACAAAGAGTCTTATCCGAAGGAAAATAAAATAGTACGTATCTAGGAATTCTTGTTTCACTGCGTGAAGTAGACATGTTAAAAGACTGACAAAATTGCATCTAAGTGACGGTTCGAGTCATGYATGGTATCAGGCTAGGTCGAATTGGTCTATATATACTTGGTGAAATTATACTTGGTCAAATTAGGCCGAAACAATATCATAATTATCATAACTATTTAATTTTATTATAGGCCAATTATCCGCTCAGGTATATATTCTACATTCGGTTGCTGGCTGGCTTCCTTTTCTCTCCATCGTCTATGTGCGCTTTGGTTGACAACCTTAATGGTTTAATTTGTGGTAAACCACACTAGTCTTTTTTATCTTTTATTCTCTTTTTGGCCGATTATGTTCATACTAAAACAATTAAACCTCTCCGCGTAGACTTCGATTGCTTTTTAAAAGATACTGCATTCGATAACGAAAAGCGGACTGTCAAATGGCAGACTGTGGGTCTCTGGTGGTTTTTGAAAAGTTGTCAAAACTAATCCTGTGCATTGCGCAAAACCGCGAAAACTAGTGCTACCTTAAATGAAAAAAACATATAAAAGAGCTTCTAATATATTTTCTCATAACATCGTTTGCTGAGTACAAATCTGACGGCAAAAATCTTTGTGATGACAAAACTAAACTGCACATTGCGACTTTTGTCTAGGGTAGCAGGGTAGCATGATATACATGTAGCATCAATTGTAAACGGCGATGAAGCTATACTGTTAGCTCTCTCTAGAACAGATTCGCTTTTGGTTTTATTAATCTACTTTTATTGATACTCCTATTTTTATTCTTTACCTAACAAAAGAAGAGAAAAACAATACTTGATATAATTCCTAGTGTTCCCCAACATTCCCGCGTGCTTTTATATATTACTGATAAACCACCCTTTATTACTGAATTATCGATTAACTTCCTGGTACATAACAAATGGTCATGACTTTATATGGCATTTTGTGGCTCTTAACAGAGCCGTTTTGTTTTTCTTGTAATAGGGGATTATCCTTCCAAATCTTTTTCCATTTCATCCAGTCTTTTTAGCTCATCGATGGCCTTGCTCTGGAAATTCTTTAAATTATTAAGGATCAGCAATAAATCCTGCATTTCCTCTGTTGGAAGCAGTTGGCCTTGGAAAATTGCGACTGAGTTCAGAAACTTTCTTTGGAGTTCCTGAACTGTGTCCATTAAAGACAACCGTCGGTCGCGAATTATATCTAACATGACCTGTTTGTCCATAGTGCTGTTCAAGTAGAATGAGAAAAATCGTGGACTGTTGACTTGAAAAGAAAGCCTCATTTACAGGGGCGGTACATCTAACAATGTAATATTTGATGTCTAAAAATTTGACATTTTGAATTTGAAACTTTGACGTTTTAGCACAAAAATTGGCAACAGACTTGAATAGCCTTATGAACATGCTTTCGGGGGAAACATGATTCGCGCAAACTACATTCCGACGAGACAAGAATTGCACGTGAATATTATTTTGACAGATTGGCTACGCGTTTGAATTAATTATTTAATTTTGACTATGATCAGAAACATTCCCTGTCAATGTTTTGGGTAAATCATAATGACACTAAGTTGAAATCACAGAAAATAAATACTATATTTACAGACTAAAAATATCGATTGCCACCTCGTAAAACAATATTCCGTAAAACGAAAAASCCGTGCAATTTTAGTCAGTAAGCAGTAAGAAAAAGCAGGCATTCCCTGCTAGCAGAGACTTGATCGTCTGCTAGCTTAGCAGAGAAGTAAAAATGGTACTGAAAGATCTGCAATGGAAGATATCTGAAACTTAAGTCAGAAGTGGCTGATCATTCGGAATGAATTGACTCAATTAGCAAATAAATAATTTTCGTCTGGCGACAAACTATTTCCACGGACTCAAACCATTAAGTGTCGATTTGCAATTAAAAATAAAATAAAGCAAAGGTTTTCGAGTTATTTTGGTTGTACCAAAGAAATAAATTAAAACTTTGTGTTAATACCGCGATATGTATAATTCCGATAAACGTTGATATATAAGTCAAAAACTATTCGATCAAACTCAATTAATACATGTAAATCTCAAGTTGGCTGCTATTGCGTCCACTGGACGCGTTTAATCAACAGTTCTGAACGCAGTCTTACCGCGGCCGGTCGCGTTATTTTTGCGTGCAAACCGCGTTCCGCATGAGGTAGTTGCACGCGTTCTGACTGCGTGCAATTGTGGCAGTAATTTCAGGCGGTACTGTACTTTAGCCTGTGCTGGAAATTTCACAAAATACAAACACTGAAAATAAACTAAAATCCACCAAACAACATAGGTAAACTTACAATACCATGTTTTCAGTTTTCTGATATACTTTTTGTTTGTTCACAGGGGTTTGTCAGACACAAAAAAGGTGCCATTTCGAAAATGGTATGCGTGCTTAGGTGAATTAAACTCACTTATTCCAAAAGGCACCCAATTGATGGTCTTGACTGCAACTGCCACCCAGGAAACAAAAAAACAAATAATTGCAACTCTAAACTTGGCACCAACAAAATTTCTGATGATAGAGCAGTCACCAGAAAGACCGAACTTGTTTTACTGTTTGAAGTACATTGATAAAAATGAACAAATTGAAGTTGTATTTGGAAACTTAATTAAAGAAGTTGGAGATCTTAGTGCAGGTACCCCTAGAACACTTATATACTGTCAAACACGAAAACAGTGCTCTGTATTGTTTAGAGTGTTTGAAATATTTCTGGGAGATAAAATGTACAAAGATGGATGTACTCRTCCCCAAAACCGATTAGTTGAAATGTTCCATGCAGGAACACCTAAACAAGTTAAAGAGCATATTTGTGACAACATGACCAAGGAAGATGGACATTTACGAATTGTGATATGCACAGTAGCTTTTGGAATGGGGATAAACTGCAGGCAAGTGAGAAGAGTCATTCATTTTGGACCCTCCAAGACTGTTGAACAGTACATTCAGGAATGTGGTCGTGCAGGACGTGATGGTCTTCCAAGCTGCTGCATTTTACTCTTCAATGGATTACTGTCATCACTCAGTGATAAGGATATGAAAAACTATGTCCAGCATGAAGGATGTGCTCRTGTTTGGCTCATGTCCCACTTTGATAGTAAAGTGTCATGTATACATTTGCTGCACAAATGTTGTGGATTCTGTGCTCAGAAATGTAGCTGTAAAGGTGATGATTGTGGGAATCTTTGGAGTCCATCGACTGATAATAAACTGGGTCCACAATTCAACACATCACCTGACAACAAATTTTCAAGAGCTGTCACTCAGCATCAAAAGAAGGCATTGGCGAAGGAGCTGCATCAGTTTCGGAAAGAATTGCTGGAAAAGGCTGACATGGATAAGATGGTGACTTGCCCTAATTTACTGATGGAGTTTAACTCCTTTCACATCAATCAAGTACTTGAACACTGTGACGTTCTCTTCTCAATTTCAGACATTTTAAAGTCAGTTGAAATTTGGCGAATGCAGTATGCTAATGGAATTCTACAAGCTTTGAGTTCTGTTTTTAATGACATTCAACTGAATAGTCTAGAAGATGATGAAGGCCCAATTTCATTGGAGATGTCCAACTACTCAGAGTGGAGCCAGATCAGGGATGATTCAACCCTTGCTGAACTGTTTAACAGCCATGATTTGGAGGAACTTAGCTCATTTCATATCTGTATGGATACAATTGGCAGTAGTTTTGAAGAGTCATTTTAATTTGTTAAAAGGGATGTTATTTATTTCATGGTATGGT